ATCCGTTGATTTACTACGACATCATAGCTTCTTGATGCGAAATCGATACACGTCGCGAGATTTCGAGAGCTATTTATCGGTAAATTTGATCGTACTTTATGGAAATACAGCATTCTCTCGATGTTTTGGAATTTTAATTTTTTTTCTCGCCGATTCGAATTAAATATCGATCCAATTTTTGATCGAATCGTAAGGCTTCGATTCAATCGCTATTCAATCTTTGTTCCTCGAATATAATAAAATTATTCGAGTAAATAAACTCGTGCGAATAAATTGATAAACCGTTAAAATTTTACCCATCACTGCAAATCGTCAGCCTGCGCCTGACACGTGCCCGCTTCCGGCTCCTAATTTCGCGACACAACAGAGGGTTGGAACGTTTCAATCTCGCGAAATAATGCTACCCACGTGCAGATATAACGTTTAAATACGTTTGCACAGGTCCGCGGACACGTGTTCGAATAATTTCTCCCGAGCTTTGCGTCGTATCGGTGTTGGATTATTGGTAAATAACATCGATTTAGAACGATTTAGGGGGTGGCAGGGCGTTATTCGACGTATACGATAGAATTTATTCCGAAAACGTGAGAATTCGGATGGGAGAGGATTTTGATTTAATATAAAGTATTTGGAAGTTATATATCGTTTATGGTATATGAATAATTTTGTGAATGTTTTATGTTTTTGAAGTTATATGTATAAAATTATTGCTTGAATTTTTTATTCTAATTTAACGATGATTCTCGTTTCAAATACAAAAATATTCAGGAAGCTAAAAGTGAAAAATATTTAGAAGAAAACCGAGAGGAGATCGTAAACTCATCTCTCTGAAAACCTAGTTCTGCCAAAAAATTCTAAATACACAAACTTTAAAAAGACGAAGAAATCGGCAACAATGAAAAGAATCTAACGACGTATTGACAAATACAAAGCCACCTGACCTGCTCATTCTAGAAATAAATAATAAATCCACAAACGTTGAACGTAGTAGTGGCAAAGTAATCTCCTCCTCTCCCAAGTATTTGGCCCAAGCATTTGAATCTAAACCGAAACCGGTGAAAAACACTCTCTCGACAAGGATTGAAAAACATCATTATACGCGAAAGAAAGGCCCTTGTGACGTTTTGGAAACGGGGGAGAAGAGGTCCGAAAATATTCATCGTCGGGGCAGGGGTTGTTCAAAGTCGTTTCATCTCTTCGTCTCATCCACGTGCATAACTAGCGTACTCTCGTGATTTCGGCCCAGTCTCGTCGACACAAAGAGAGAAGAAGCAACCCCTGGGTCGGACACCCAGGGGTTGAAGAGGCTCGTAATCCGGGGGCAGTGACACGTAAGTAAGACGCGGCTTGGACGAGCAGAAAGGGCCTCGAGGGCCTTCCACATTTGGCTGTGGAGGGGAAAGATCGATTGTTTCGTGGAATACCGTGCGATTCCAAGATCTTTGTCCGAAAGTGATCTTTAGATCTTTAGAGATCGGAGGAGGATGGACGAGTCTCGAATCTTCCGCGAAGAGATTGATACGCGGAAGCGAATTGCCATCGAATGGTTTGACAATTTTTCAGAATTGTTATGGAGTTATTAAAAATGAGAATTAGGAATATCGATGAAAGAATTGATTTAAGATGTTTTATAATGGTTTCTTAAAGGAATGTAGAAAATTGATAATTAACGATACCCATATTTTGGTAATTTTGGAATAATGTATGAATAATCACGATTCGACTCGAATTGAAACTAACAAATTTTTATTATATTTTGTTTTAAATAAAGGAGTTAAAATGAAAATGAAATTTCTCGTTATATTAATAAGAGTAAAAGATTTTTACAAAAAATTTTAATACTAGGTACCTACTACAATTGTTATATTTGAGAACATGGCATTAGAATTTATTGTCTGATAATAATAATAATTGCACAATACACGATATCTATAATCATTTTCAATTATTCCAAATAACTACAACAATCCACTTTTAACAATAACCTCCCAGAAGTGTTAAAACTTTCAAAATTATAAACTTTGCCGATAAACTTTCCCTATTCAATATCATTCCACGATTTCTTCTTTCATCTAATCTCTCCCTTAAAAACTATACATATTTAATAAAACAAAAAAAATTCCTTTACACGAAGAATCTGGTGGATTGGTTTATCCTTTGCACATACTCGTCAGGGTATTTAAGTGTACGTGAAATAAAAAAAGACCACCTTGGTTCGTTGGAAAGGTTGCGGTAGTGATGGGACCGAGTATATCGCAAGATTCGAACAACTAGAAAAACTAGATTTCTTTTTAAAGTACTTTCGAAATTTCCAAATCCACGAATAACAAATATTTATAATTTATACTTATCGAATATAAATTATACTATAATTTTTATATATAAAACATTCAAATTCCACGAAACGATTCTTCTGAAACCCAATCCATTTAGATCAAGAAATTACACGCCGAACTCGATCCCATCGCTATCCACGAATCTACGAATCGTTCCCCACGATCTTTCACTTAAAATAATTTATAACCACATTGGAAGTAACCATTTAATACCATTCGAATTGGAAGAAACGATTCGTTCGCACTTAGATCTACAATTACACACCGAACACTCGATCCCATCGCTATCCACACGTCTAAGCGAAGCGGGGTTGAATCGCTCCACGGAAGGACAACCTTTCTCTCCCCTTCTCTCGTCGAAACGCGGCGTTATATTTATCGAGAGGCCTTGCTTGTCGCAGGAGGCGTGCGTGCGAAAACGCAACGCGCTCGACAACCGCGTATCGACCGGTGTCGTTTACCAGAGAGAAAAATCAGAAGAGAGAGAGAGAGAACGGGGAGAGACGACCTTTTTTCCCGCCTAGTTAACCTCCGCCGTTGGAAATCCGACCGGAAGGACGCGGCTATAAATTTTTCATTCGATCTGACGAGGAAGCCTCGAGGCGCCAGATTCGCAAGATTCTCGTCTCGATGATAACGAGCAGGACTCGACCCGACGGGGAGGGGAGAGGAAAACGGTAGGTATTCGATCGAAGATGGCGACGATGACGATAATAACAGAGCAACGTAGCCTGTGTATCACGGTGGAGAAATTCCAGAGGGAAGCTCTCTCTTCCGGATTTCTCTCTCTTTCTCTCTCTTTCCTTCTGTCTCTTCTCTTTATCCTTCTATCCAGACCTCCTCTGCCCTATTCGGCGTTGAAAAATAACGAAGCAACCGAGGAACAAAGCGGCAACTTTGAAAGCGGATACGTCGTTACAGGGTGCGCGAGATGCTTGGAAAATTCATCCATCCCTGTCGAAGCTGCGAGAGAAGCCGTAATTAAACACTGGCGAACGTCGCGGATCCTGAAACGCGAGCCCTCTCCCATCATTCCAGCGGAATTTAGCCCAGTTACATTGAAGTAGAGTAGTTACATTGAAGGGAAAGGGGTGTTGATCGCGTGCGGGGGAGGAAAGTCAGACGAGGGATAAATGAACGAGTTGGAAGTGGCTGGATCGAAGGAGAAATTAGCCTAGTTGAAATTCTCAGTGGAAGAATCTCTTCTCTTGTCGAAAAGAATTTTTATCGATTGATCTTTTATTCGTGAGAATATTTGATAAATATTTTATAATTTAAATAATTTGTATATGAGAATTATATACTATATATGGGGATTGGTGTGGAAAATTTGGAAAATCAATCTGAAATTGTGCTCAAAGTTACCTTCGATCTTTTAAAATAGAAAACTGTATCATTTCTTCCCCGTTGTATATACGTTTCGCGTAAAATAATACGATACATTACACGGGGAACATAGTAAACTTGTTTATTTTACAGACGAGGAACACGTGAGAGAAAATTTTAATCGGGCCATTATTATTCAACGGGTGGAAAAAGGAGAGCGAAACGGCGCGGAAGAGGAAAGGAGCAACGAGTCGTAATAAAGGCGGGGGAGAAACTTCCAAGTCCGGAGTTTGTCGTTCATTGATACAATTCACGCGAACGAACTCGATAACAGATATAACGAGGGCTGATAAAGAAACGGCACGATTTTAACGACGTCGCGAAATATGGCGACACGAATTTATAGTCGACTGTACACCCTTCTCTCGCTTCTATCTCCCTCTTTCTTAAAAAAAAAAAAAGAAAAAGAAGAGAGAAAAAAAGAAAAAAAAAAGAAAAGAAAACGACGACGACGACGAGGAGAAGTTTAAACCGGCTTTTAGAGGAGAACGGTTATTACGGATATAAAAGCGAGATTGGACGATGACGATGATGACTTTAACAACGATATCGCGTCGTTTCCAACCGGGACGTCAATCGTCATCCCGACGCGGCGATCTTTGAGAAATTCCATGAAACGTCCCAGTGCACACAACTGAGAGAAAAGAATAAAATCATTTTTACAATTTATGTAAAAGTGACTCGTTGATCTTTCGTGCGTGTGCATTCACAAAGTCGGCTATGAGATATATCTATCGTGAGTTAGGGATTTTATTAATTTTATTGATACGACGAATCAGTTTGTAGGATCAGTCAAACGTAAAATAACGAGATATCGGAATTTTCAGAAATGATTCGAAGGCATAGCTACATTACGTCTTCCCATATTAAATTGTTTCATAGAGAAAGAAAAATTCTGTATTCGAAAATATATTCGAACGAATATATCATTGAATAAGATTCTATAGTTGACACGTGAGTGTTACTATTTGTTTCAATATACGATAGCTCATTAATGAAATAGACGCGATAGGTGACGTATCGTATCTATCAATCGCAATTCACGAAATATATGATTGAAAATTATTATCTTACGAGAAATTATCAGAGATGAATTAAAGTACAAATTTTATTATTCATTCGTAAGATAATTATTGTAACACGTGCGATATTAAGACGGTTGAATCTAATAAAAAAAAGATAATCCAACATCCTTTGAATAGTCCAGATAGCAAACATGTAAAATAGCGATCTTTTTACGGCGTTACGTTTCGTGTTATATAAGAATTATTCTATATTTTCTCCCGGAGAGGAAAGAATAGAATCAGATTTTTCCTCTGTTAATTCGAGAGCTCGAGTCTATTTTGCGGGAAACGACAATCGTTTACTGTCTCGAACGATTGCATACCGGATAAGGAGGACGTGACTTCCGAGTTGTTTCCAAGATTTTAGAATTTGCATCATGGTGGAAAGAGAGTATCGTTTAATTCGTTTACGAGAGGAATTGTTCCATACTTTCGAGTTGGATTGAGTGGAGAATGGATGAAATTTGAGGCGATAAATATCTGGAGGAGAGCATTTCACTAAGATCCATTTGTAACTTTAAGAAAATGGAGAAGATAATGAAAGCTTTTCAATTATTGCAGAAAATCAAAATTTAAAGTACATTTTAGGATTGTTTAATTTTATCAATTATCCTTTGTTTTTTTTTTTAAAAATAACGAGATATCGAGAGATTGGATTCAAATAAAAGTGAATATCGAATAAAAGAAACTGATTTCAACCTTCACGTGACATACATTGTCAGTTCATTTCTGGATATACGTCAACGTGAAATATAATTAAAATATCGTAGAGATATAAGGATTACATAAATGATTTCCTTAAAATTCCAATGTTCATCTATTTCTTTTTCCAAACATATATTAAAATTTTCACAAACTAAAAATCCGCAAAAAAATAAAATTAATCGAATACGTTTAAGAAAAACACCGAAGAATATTGAATTTCTTCTACGAAAACTTAGAAAAATTTGGCAAACTTGAAAATTATTAATAAAATTCATAAAAACTTGGGAACCTCGAAATATTAAAAAAGGGAGGAGATAAACTTTGGATAAAGTTAGATAAAGAAGGGAACCCAAATCCAAGATGATAACCCCTTCTTGAATAAGAACATTCACAGATCCGGAAAAAAAATCTGTTTCACGTAGAACTGGATAAAATTTGAGACAAGGATTCTTTATTGTGAAAACGATGGGAATGTAAATAAACGAAGAACTAACGTGAAACAATATCAATTTGACTCTGTTCATCAGATTAAGCGCGTATTAATTAAAAAGTTTTATAAACGAAACGAGAGAAACCGGCGATCTTTGGCTCCGCGATTAATCGTGCAATCTCCTCATTCAGGAAAATATTGTTTAACGAGCGTCAATCAACGTAGAATTATATTACATGCAATGAATCACTATACACGTAATTGAAATGCATGGTTGAATGATCGATGAAGTCTTTATTACAGGTATGATCCGATATTGAGATTTTTATTGAATCGTTACATCATTTTGATTTGTTTAACCAAAGTGAAAATTTTACAGGAATTTGCATTTTATTAAGGAAATTTATAATAATAAAGTAATATCTCTTCCAACATCCAATTTTGTTTTTATTATTTTCTTCATTAAGAAAATAAAGTTCCTTTTGAAAATTTATTTCCATTTGGCATTATTAAATAATTATTACTCTCGTTTA